CCTGACTGACTCTCATGGTACGACTGAGTTGGCCTCATCGAGGCATTTCGCAAACTGTCCTGAAAATTTGAAGTAGAAGCCGACTCTGATAATCGGTCACTCTTCTTCTGCTCTAGCAGGTGCCGAGCATCTGTGAACGTTTGCTTTGACCCGTCCGCCTGAATATGACGAACCGGTTTCCTATTTCCCGTAGGATAACGGAGTTTTGTGAAATCAAGAGCAGACGGCTCCCGCTTCTTGAATTTAGGATGGGGAGTCGCCTCTCGCCCTTGGACTGACTTCCTCTTTAGTGAAGTGGAAGGTTTCTTGGCCGACTGCTCTTTGACTGAAGCAGGCGGTTTTTTGTTGATCAACTCTTGGATCTCTCCCTTGAAATCCCTCATGAAGGTCATGAGTTCGTTCCTTGTGATGGGAGCAGACCCATCAGTCGGCTGTTGCCGAGCAAGCGGTGCGCCTGCTGGCTCGCTTCCTGTTTGAAGATACTCCCGTTCCCTCATTTCGGTATGACGGGTACGTCGGGCCCTTAGGGTCCCGTCTGGAGCTGTATGAGTTTCAACTTCAAATTCACTTTCGGTATCATGGTCCGACTGAACTTGAGGGTCGTTTAGGGGACGCCTCTCTTCTGGAGTCGGTACAGACTTGGATGCCATCTCTGAAGTACTCTCCCCACAGACGGCGCCAAATGTTTCGGGGTTTTCTGATGTCCTGCGGGAGAGTTACAATTCCGAGACTGGAACCGGACGCCTGTACCTGCAAAATAACGGAGACTCCTGAGAGCTCCGCCTCCAACGGTCAAGTTAGTACCTGATTAAGGAGTAATCAATACAGAAATTAAAGTAATCAGATCTCTCTAGGTGAGAGTGCTTAGTGTTGGTAATCTGCGTTGTTAGCGAGATTAGCCGGTCGTTAATAAGTCTGTTCTTCTCTGCTTGATCTCTTAATTATTCGGTCCCCTGATTAATGAGGATTAATCGAGTATTTATAGCCTTGGGAAGCGTGCAACTCTCTAGGTTTAAGGTAAACCTAGGGCTGATCGGGCCTCTAGACTGAATTGGGCCTTGATGGCCGGTTTTCCCATTTGGCATGGGCGGACACGTGGCGTGTCTTAAGTGGTCCATGGAGGACGTATCTGTGATTGACACGTGGCAAGCTCCTGTTGGCCTTTGTGAAGGACACATGGCGGAACCTGGTTGGTCCACTTGTCAGATGGTGATTGGTGGATAAAAATCCCCTAATCAGTACCCATATCATGGACCAACCAAACTGAATTGGCTGTTTTCTTAAAATAGGTTTTCAAAAACAGAGAGAAGAGAAAAAAGAAATTAAAACTATCTGTAACACTAAACTTTCCACACTTTCACTTCATTCGATTATGACTCGACGTGAAAGGCACTCATCACTGGGTTTGGTTTTGGGGAGACACAAATGGGTGTCTACACTAGTATTTAAGCTAAAGAGGGAGAAGAGAATTATTTTGTGATCAAGCATGTTGATGATTGAAAAAGGGGTGATCTGACCTCTATTTATAATGAAAAAAAAGGGTCGAAGAATTAAGATAATATTCAAATTACATCTGAATAAAACCCGATAGACAGTAGTTTTTGCGATTTTTTTATCGTATCTTTTGATCCAAAAATCAGAATAAGATAAATAATATGTTATTGGAAAGTTGTTGAAATCTAATTTCTACCCCAATTAAAATAATATTAAAATTCTTTGTAGAATAAAAGATGTGGCCAAAATAGTGGGACAGTGTCAGTTTTGGATAGAGTTTGGTATTTCATTCATATATTTTCCGTTATTGTTCGGAATCGATATTATAATATATCGTTGGAAAGATAATTTCAAGGGCTATCCAACCATATAAGATTTTGATAAAAAAAAATGAGGCAAGAAAATAATATCTGACTATCTTTGAACGTCTTTCAATTCGAATAGAATTAGGACTTTCAAAAAGAAAAGTTTTTATTCAATTTCAAACTCTTTAATCTTATCTTTTCAAAAAAGGATAATTAAGATATTTTAGAAGCTTATATAATCTTCTAATTAATCATAATTGATTTAGTAATGGGATTAAAGCTTTTGGACCATCCACATGATCATTGGGTCGTAGGTAAGGTGGGCTTAGGTTCGGTTTGGGCTCAATTTAGTATTTTGGTCATAACTTATTCATTATAACTCGGATTTGGGATTATAATATATCGTTGGAAAGATCTTTTCAAACCCCATCCAATTATTAAATCATTGGACCTAGATTTTGGACCAAAATAAACTAGACTTAACGTTTTTATAAAAATGACATGAAATGAATGATTTTAAAGGACACGAAATGAATTATTTTGGGTTTAAAGGCACAAAAAGAGGAAAATAATTTATGTTTTGGGGAAATGGGCTATAAATTGGGTTGGTTTATGAAATGGAAATATGGATTTAAGCACTCCAAGAATAAATACTCAACCCGGCCAATAATGACGGTAAAAGGTTGTTCATCATTGGGTTTGGTTTTGGGGAGACATTTTTAGGTGTCTACACCTACCAACTACTAAATTCTTGGGAGTGGCAACATTTAGAAATATTTTTGAATTGTCTCCTTAGATGACAACATTTTTCATTCGTTGTCTTTGAAAAAGTGTTTTCTTATGTATCATTTTACCTTGGCTTTCAAAATTGTTGCCTATTAATCAAAATGTGTTGCCTTATGAATAGACAACGGAAGCATATACTACGCCTCATATGTGTTGCCTTAGCTACAAGGCAACACTTTTTTTATATTACACAATGGTTTTGCACTGTTACCTTTGCTTTATTTTGTTGTAGTGATTTTACAAGGAAACCTTCTAAGGCCCAACTGGAAGTGAAACCTCGACCCTTCTAAGGAATTTCCAAAGCCAAACAAATTCACTATAACAAGGCAAACACACAAGTTAAAACCTATTATAATCAGACCTTTACTCACAAGTTCCAAACTGAACTTGCTACACAGTAGGACCCTATCCTACCCAACCTAAGTTCCTGACTTAGATTCATTTGTACTCCCTGAGTACTCTCTCACTCAGCTTCAACCAGGAAGCCTACAACACTGTATGCAAAGATAAGTTACACACACACAACTAAGAACCCAATGATACAAAATATAGACCCTTAGTATATGAGAGATAAGTTACGCATTAAACCCAAAACTAATATGAAAAAGTTATGGATTTGGAAAACTTACACAATTAAGCACACTTCCATTTCTCCATGCATAAACTCATGGAAAAATAATGAAGTGGGAGTTCTACAATTTATACAAGACTTACTTGTATAGAAATTAGGGCTTTCAAAAGATAAATATGTTAAATTACCAAAATCCCAAAACACGATTTTGAAGTAAATATATTTTAAAGAAAATCTTTTAGAAACGTATCATAGATAAATTATTAAAAAGAATAATATATTTTTTTATAATCAGTTTTTAAGAAGTAAATCATTTAGAAAATCTGTTCTTAAAAACTTATCTTTTTAAACTTTCCTATTTTAAGAAGCTTACCAAGCTCTTTTGTCACGTTTCTAATAAGTCTCATGCGTAACCCTAGCAATAATATTTGCAGTAAATCTTAAAGATAAAAACTTAGCAAAATTAATTTGTTTTGCCAATATTCTGTAAACTAGGATGTTTAGGCTTCACGCAGGTCAGAACTAAGTTCCTGCTGTCACTTGCACTTCAGTTCTGAACTGGAACTTCACTGGCCAAGTTCCAATAGAACTTGCTGCCTTCAACGCAGACCAAGTCAGCACTTTAACTTGTTGTCTTCAAGTTCCTGTTAGGGAACTCAGTTAGTTCCTGCGAGGGAACTCTTCCCCTATGTTCTTTTAACTTTCCTTGAGATCTCTATGAGTCTTCATAGCTAGGTTACTCTTACACTTCCAAAGTCAACTTCACATGTTCTAGTCACAATACTTAGAGAACTCTTATTAGTTTGAAGTTTGCTTAGTTTAAGTTCAACATCATCAAAACCTTTAAGTTTCAACAAAGGTTTTCGTTAGTTAATAGAAATATGTACAACCGGATAGAATCGTAAATTGAATCATATGACAAACGTAAATCGTAAAATCGTGAGATTCTAAGATTTAAATCGAGATTTTAATAACAATGGTTTAACACCTAATTTACCTTCTTTTCTAAAGGGACCTAACTTACCTCTTATTGTAGTTTTTTTAATACTACCTCTGTATCACATTATTAGCAACGATTTAGCATAAAATAGAAGAAAAATGGCTAATTATTGCAAAAATAATACTCCGTATGAAACGAAGATAGTAGTTCAACACCTAACTTACCTCTTATTGTATGTCTAAAATTATGTGTCAATCAAAGATTAAAATTTTAAGGCATGTTATCTTCAGCTTATTTTCATTTCAGTTCAATTCTTAATTTATTTTTCTCATAAAATATTTCGTTCAATTTTGTTCAATTCAATTCAATAAATGGCCTTAATACTTCATAGTGAGGGAGCACACTGAAAGCGTACACTAGCGGGCAGCGCACAGTTGATCAGACCCGGTTTTGCAAGTCAATTTTTATTGCACGAGTGGGGACACTCTATTCTGCTACTGCAATAAGTCACCAACTTACCATACGCATCTTCCTTGTTACCATGTAAATAGGTTCGGTAGTTTTTGCAATTCTTTAGTTTAGGAAGTAACTATAAAAGAAATTAATGACTTAAATTTACTGTAATTGATTTTCGCTAAACATTGGAATTGCTAAAATAATACGAAGAAGTACTCTACTACTCTGTACAAAGTAAAAACTTGAGTGGTTCCCTCCCCCCCCCCCCCCCCCCCCCCCCCCCCCCCCCCCCCCCCCCCCCCCCCCCCCTCCCCCAAAAAAAAAAAAAAAAAAAAAAAAAAAATAATAATAATAATAATAATAAAAAGAGTATCCAAAGTTAAAATAAAATAGAAAAATACGGAGTAGCATTTGCAGTAGTATATTCGAACTATTAAATTAAGCAGAATCAATCTGCTGCATGTGAATGTATTGTACTAGATTCAATATTACCCGACCTTCGATGTCTCCAAAATTCAGAGCTTAATGGATCAAGTTCTCCCGAATCTCTTCTAGCTGGTTCTGACTTGCATCTCATTAGCATCAATGCTTTCGCAACAGCTTCGACTCCATCGTGTTTTTCATATTTTGGTAATGTTTTGTTGAATATATCAATTACGGACTCATTATTAGTATGAGGTGTGGTAACACCCTGATGTTGAACGATGGCACAAATTTCGACCTCTCTTTTTAAACTTGGTCTTCTTTCAGTGTTATTGTCTCGATCTCCCCTCGATTGTGACGAAGTCGAATCTCTGCTCACTTCAATTCCCGAAACTCTGTTTTCTATTTCTGTTTCTGTGTCTTCTGACTCTCCTCTTAACGGCGACCCCCAAAAACGACACGCTAATGACGAAGTTCTGTATGGCGCAGATCTGCACCTTGTCAACAACAACGCATTTTTTGGTGGTATTGTTGTTTCGGTCATCGTCGTCGTTGTTATCTCCTCAATCGAAATTGATTTTTGTCTTTCCCTCCTTTCGTCAAGCTCAACAGCAGCATTACCCTCCTCTTGCTCGAACCGTTTTGACCCGAACTTGGATGAATCCGTCCGCACCTTAACACTCCTACAATTGAAAAACGAAACCCATTTCGGAAACTTCGGCTTGCATAAATTCCATTTACAAAAACCCGGTTTTCGAAAACAATAACAACTCTGATTAGTATCCTTATTATTCTTCTTGTTATTATTATTTTTGCTAGGTTTTTTGTTGGGGTATTGAGAAGTTGAACTTCTATTCTTACTCTTAGACCTTATGACCCTAACTTGACCCATGCAAGTAACCTTGGGTGAAGAAGGTTCTTGAGTTATTTCAATGGCGGAAGAAGAAGTAAGAGCTTTCTTTCGACGCATAAACAATGGTGGTTTTCTTGTTCTTCTTCTGCTACTTCGGCTTCCAACATTGCTTCGCAAAAACCTCATTAATGGAGGTGGGAATTTCTCTGTCCTGCCTGGACTTGATATGGGTTTTGAGCTAGAAGAAAACCTCATCCTCTTTTTTTTCAGAAAAAATAAAATAATAAATTCAATTTAATTATCTGATTTTTGTGGGAGTGAAGTGAGATTGAGACTTGGCGGAGAAAATTTGGGGAAACATGGGTTGAAGATATTTGGCTTGTCCTTTTTATTTTGTGAAATATTGATTTTTTTTTTTTTTTAATTTGTTATTTTTGAAAATTTTATTTATGGTTACGTTGCTGTCACTGTAAGAGAGTATTTGAATAATGTGATTGTACTACATTAATATATTTTTGTCTAGAAAAAATAATTTTTGATTAACTATTCCAAAAAAAAAAAAATTAAAAAAAAATCATGGTGCACGGTTGGGTGATTCAGATTGTGTAAACTTTTCTTTTTCAAAAGCTGTAAGGTGCTGTTTGTCTTACTAGAGAAGCTACAAGCCTACCAGGCTACAAGTGATTGATTTCTAAAGTGAAGAAATTTGGCTATAGTATCATGTCAATTTTATTAATTACTCTATTTTTTTTTTTCTTTTAAGTGTTACACTTTAAATGTAATACGGAGTATTAGTGTTATGCTCAAGCAATGCCCAACGTTGTTACTGGACCTAATGTAAACGGACCCATACTTTCATCTCCTCTCCTCTCCTCCTCTCTTCTATGGTTTCTCCAAAATCTTGGCCGTTTAGGCCGGAAATAGTCTAATTTCTCTCGCAAATTAGACTATTTCCAACCCTTTTCCTTTAATTTTATTTAGTTTTGCAATTTGAATTTCAATAAATCTACACAAGTAGTGTAGATATTCGACCGTCTCCCTATGGTGGAGTGTCTCCCTATGGTGGAGTCGTAAGTTTTCGTTAGTTTAGTTGTTTGTTTTTGTTTAGGGTTTGTTTTTGTGTAGGGTTCATCAAAAAAAGTAATCATCTTATGCCCTATTGTCAGTTCTTTGATAAAGATTTGTTCGAGATCGCCATGGTTGTCAAATTTTCAAATGCGTTTAGGCGAATCAGGTGAGAATCATCCTTACGGCTACAACAAATCGTTAGACCGTCTCTCCGAAGTGCAAGATCTTTTCAACGATCGTAGCTTTGATGAAGGAAAACCTAATTTGATTCAATTTTATGTATTTGTTAATTTATATTTCATTTGTAGATGCCGGATGGCTTTTTATTAATGAATTAATTTGTTTCAAAAAAAAAATTGCTCAAGCAATGCCCGTGTAATTTAGTAAATTTTTGGTTCCAATTCCAACTCTTAACGTGATCTTCATTGATACTCCCTCCGTTTTTAAATACTTTTTCTATTTTTCCACGCGTGGAGTTTTACGAAAAATTGGAGAAAGTAATAAAATATGGAGGTAGTGAGGTTGGTGGAAGGATTAAAAATTGTTAAAAAAATCAAAAGTAGTGGAGAAAATTAAAGGAGAGAGAATATGAAATTAATATTATTGGTTTCACTTGGTGAGGTAAATTAATTATATATTGTAAAATCTTGCCAAATAAGAAAATAAAGCAAGTATTTAAAAACGGCCGGAAAAGGAAAGTGGAGCAATTATTTATAAATGAAGTGAGTACAAATCAAATCTTATAATATTTACGATAATTTGTAGTTTTATTAGTATGATGATCTCTATGTCATATCAATTATCTACTCATATATAATTAATGATCAATTAGTAATTATATCAGTAAAATAAAAAAAAAAATATTACTACTGTTTCTTTTCTTTTTTTAATGGTAAGGAGGACCCTCACCACTCCTCAACTTTCACGGCTTTTTTTGTTCCGGTATTTGCAGACAAGGCACTTGGGAGTAGATAGGAGTGTAAATGAATCCCTACCCCTAAGTACTCGCATATGGTAGGACTCGAACCTAACCTTAACAAGTGAGCCAACACTTTGTTGGTTACCGTTCCTGAAAATTGGTTGTTACTTTAGAATATCACAAACTACTCCATACAAGTACAATATAACAGTAATATTAGATGTGAATTTATTTATTTTTTTATTCAATTAAAGTATATTCTAAAATTTATCTCCTTTTAAATTATGCTAAAACGAATTTTATTTTTAGATTTTAACACCTGCTAAAAACACGAAAATGGTTTTTAATACCTCCAAAAAAAATGGGTATTAACACCATACAAATTTCCAAAAATTTGGTATTACCACCACTTAACGGTTTCCGTTAAAAAATTCCGTTAAATGTGGTCCACAGTGACACATGTCACTATTTTATTTGTTTAAAAAAAATAAAAATTAAAAACCTAAAACTACCCCAGCCACCCCAGCCCCACCCACCGCGCCACCACCGCCATCCCCAAACCCACCCCCTTCCAGCGTCCGAAGTCCCAGAGAATCGCCCAGCGCCGGCGACCCCACCCCACCACCCTTTCCTCCACCTACGCACCCCACCCCTTCCCTTTCCCCATTTTCGTTTCCCGACCCACAACCCCGAAATCACCCTAAACGGGTTTTAGGGTTTCGTTTGGGGGTGGTAGGGAATCGATTAAGGGAGGGAGTTTCCGGGGGAGGAGGGGCGTTTTCTCGGGGAGGAGGCGTTTAGGGTGGTTTCGGGGTGGTGGGTCGGAAACGAAAATGGGGAAAGGGAAGGGGTGGAGTGCGTAGGTGGAGGAAAGGGTGGTGGTCGTCGGTGCCGGGCGATTCTCTGGGACGCCTGAAGGTGGTGGGTTTGGGGACGGCGGTGGTGGCGCGGTGGGTGGGGCTGGGGTGGCTGGGGTAGTTTTAGGTATTTTTAATTTTTTAATTTTTTATTTTTTAAGTTTTTATTATTTTTTTATTTTTTGGCCAATAACAAAGCGACACGTGTCTATATGGCCCTACTTACCGGATTTGTAAACGGAATCAGTTACGTGGTGGTAATACCCAATTTTTTGAAATTTTTGGGTGGTGTTAAAATCTTTTTTTTTTTTGGAGGTGTTAAAAACCATTTTCGGGATTTTAGCAGGTGTTAAAATCTAAAGTAACCTAAAAATAACATAATTTTTCAGATTTTTATTCATATTGAATTTTTAATACAAAAAAATTGGAATTTTATAGATAACAAAACTCTATAATAACTTTTCAATCCTAAAAAATCTAATTGAATCTTACTTACTTACATCATATGTGCCCTATTTATACGTACATAATCATTGTCGATAGTAATAAGATAATATATATAGTATATTAACTTAGGCCCTGCTCACTTCATCTTAAAAAAATAATATAAGTAAAAATAATTTCACTTCAGTAAAAATAAGTTTAGTTCTACTAAATTAATTTCAGTTCAGCAAAAATAATTTCAGTTCAGTAAAAATAAGATCAGTTCAGTAAAATTCAATTATCTTAAAGAAGAATTATAAAAGAAAATCAGTAAAAAAAATAATTACAGTTCAGCAAAAATAATTTCAGTTCAGTAAAATTTATTTAAGTTCAGCAAAATAAATTTAAGTTCAACAAATATAATTTTGTTTCATTATAATAATTTCAGTTAGTGAACGGGGCTTTAGTTATGAATGAACGATCACTTGACAAATTATATTTGTAAAAAAAAAAAAATCTCATCAAAAGCAATTGTAAAAATAACACATTTGTAAGATATTTACTAAAAGTGATAATTTAATTTATACGATATATATCGATCGTTGAGGTAAATATTGTTCTTTACAGACAAGTCAAATATCATATATCTTTTGTAGGGAATAGCGGATACAACGTAATGTAGAGAATATTATTAAGCATGTTGGCGCCCAAAGGGAAGGAAGCTAGAGCAAAAGAGTCGCCAACAAGTTTTAGGAGCTTGTAAACCATCCACGAGGTGAAGGTTACACTCCATTCACGATTACAAACATCGCTAAATCCATAGTGGTCATGAACCATGACTGGATATTCGGAAATGATGGCACGAATTCAACCTAAAAGAGATTGAACCCGCCCTAAATAGGCCTTTAATTAATTTGTTCTTATCATATTCATGTGCGCTTTTCGATCAACATACAATCAATATATTAATCATAAACCTGTTTAATCTATGTTAGTTGATTATTAATGCACAAATAAATTTATTATTGGTGATCACTTGAATAAAAATACCATTAGTCTAAATAAAGTTATTAATTATCCTATTAAGCGCAATTTTAAGTACAACTTGCAAGAGAGGGTTTGATCAAGCAATAATAATAATATATCAAGCAACATAATAATATTGATAATGTTAACTCCACAAATCCTCATCATCATAACAATCTTATCAAAGCATTATAATATTAGCAAGATCCTAGGCATGATACTAATATGATTAATAACGAATCCTAGCATGTTACTAAATAACAAAAATAAAAAACTTTATCCCTAACATGATACTAGAAAGCAATAAAAGTATCCTAACATGGTAATAGGAAACAATAAAAGCATCCTAACATGATACTAGAAAACAATAAGTGCATCCTAACATGATACTAAGAATTAATAAAATAATCTAAACATGATTTCTATATCAAAAGAGTAATTAAATTACTTACTTCGATGCCATGTACATCTTTCTATTAAAACAATACATGCGTAACTTCAATGAAAATATTAAATCAAACAATTAAAACAATATTATTAAAAATGCCCAGAATAATCCCACCTTGGGGTTATATTTAAATAATCCTACTTTTACCCCCTGATCTTTTTTAATTGTCCCATTTTACTTAGAACCGGTTGAGTAGGTAATTTTTTTTAAAAAAGTTTAATTTACATGTGTTGCTACTTAATTGGTAAAAAATAAAAATAAAAAATAGTTAAAAAAAAGGTAAAAAACCAGCACCACCGCCACCGAAGCCACACCAATTCAGCCACCACCCAAACTTAACCCTCGAAACCACCATCCCGCCTAGAAACTGACCGTCCCTGACTATAATCCCACCCAACCGCCCTATCCCACACTTCTTTAAACACGTATGTATACAATATGGGAAAAAATTCATACCGCCATAGCCTACTGCTTATATACTTCATGGGAATGGATTATACAGTTCACACCGCCC